TATGAACTTATAAAATTTAAGGCTGAATATTTAAAGTTAGCTGCAAAAAATATTGATATGGGAATTTATATAACACGGGGTTACAGATATTCACAAATCAATACCCAGGCAGCAAAAAAAGTGGTGTTTGTATGTGGAACACGATACTCGATTTGCCCTGCTTTAATATTACATGGAATAATCGCTGTGGATATAATAGAAAGAAATCATACAAAGTCCAAATTTAAGGATTTTATAATAAATAATGTTGTATGTATGATACTATCATTAATTTCATGCTTCGTAATATCCTAATAGAAAGAAAAATATTGCATTAGCAAATACTATAATTGTGCATAATAAATATAATTCGCATCATAGAGATGCCCTTACAAGCCATTAGGTTTATTATAGGGAGGTGGTTTAGAATGTGAAATATGACCAATTTTTTAATAAATCATAACTAATATTCTATTTTTATTATATTATAGTTGCCACAGATGAATTCTTACCCACATCCGAATAGCGTTTTAATTTTAGATAATGCACGTATTCACCACGATGATGGGTTGCTTGAATATTTAGATGCATTTAGAGTACGTGTAGAGTTTCTTCCACTATACTCACCCGACCTCAACCCAATTGAATTAGCATTTTCTGTGGTTAAAAATTATTTGCAATGATACCGATTCTTCGTTGAGAATTCACATGATCCAACATATCCTTTATTAGTGGCATGTGCACAAATTTTGCCAGGAATAGCAAAACATTTTTATGAAAAGTCTGGATATAAGTAACATCTAGATTTATACAGTCTTGTGAATTTTATGCTAACAATTATAATTTGTTTTGTTTAGGTAATTGTGAGATCAAAATTTTGTATGTTGTAAACAGCAAGATCGTCCTTCACAAAAAAGTTATTATTTGGTAATCAGTTGTACGAATTCTCAGAATTTCTGGAATTTCTAGAATTCGAGGAATTCAAAGAAAAGTAGGAAAAATTAGAATAGTGGAAAAATCAGAATAATGAGAAAATATAAAAAAGCTAGAAAAATTAGAATTTGTGTTATTCCTGTATAAGTAAAAATAATTATACATGTGGTTGTTCACTCCAGAAATAAAACTAGCTTTTTGAGATAATTTAAAGAAATCCGAGTACTTAACTTTGTGAAACTCTTGAGTTCAAAAGTCCCAGTTAAAGTTATTAGAAAAGTGTTGCTTTACTAATTTCCTCTCTTTGCGATAAGTCAAATCCATAATTACGAAAGGAACTTGTGACCAAATCTGGTGATTCTGAATAAAGAGATTCGTGATGTAATCAAGAGCTCTAATCTGACACTATCGCTAAGAACCCAATTCATCCTGGTTACTCAGACCAAGTCTTTCCACGCTTTAATTGTTGCATTACCACTACTGGGGGTTTGGTTGTATTAGTTTTGGTGTTCTAGTTAGAGTAGTAGTGTATAGTTGTATTATCTAGAACCAGTTTATCTTTTCCCTTTTACAACATATTGCAAATTTATTTAGCCTTTTATAGATATTTTTACAATAATCTTTATAAGTATCTTGTTAGTTGCAGATATTTTTAAGAGTTAATACATAATCGCATATAATTGTTTTTGGGAAGTTCTATTACTATTCGCTTTCTCTTAGATAAAAGCTAATTATGTTGTTCCACTCTGCCTATTTCAAAAAAACCTGATTGGCTAGTAATTATATAAACAGATTTTGAAATAAAATACTATACTAATTCACTTACCCATAAATTGCTTGCTTTAAAATCGACACAATATAAACAATTATTTTTAGCATGAGCAGGTTTATGCATCATGAATAATCATTCAGGGCAAGTGCAGTAACATAAATAAATCAATAACAATAAGCAAATAAATAAATAATTAGGTACAACAAATTGAAATATAGAACTGAATTTTTTATATATATTAATGCTTTAATCATTTAACTTTTATATATATTGACATATCATTTTTAACTGTACAAGAAACTATATAAAATTGTAATATTCTAATGTTTACCAAAGTTGTTTGCAACAGATAAGGCATGCACTTGGAAATATACTGATTTGCTATGAACGAACTCAATTTATATGTTTTTTTCATTATTATAACAATAAAGTCTTCAATAAAGCAATAACAATTGTTCAAAAAGTTATTATTGAAATTACAATAGTGATTAGTGCAACAAAAAAAAATCAAATATATCCTTAAGCACTATTGCAAATAACTAGCTATACTATCACAACATCAGAGACCCTGGACGTTTTATAGCAAAAATAGCTGGAAAATTTAGGAATATAATCATATTTTTCTTCTGCGAGTTCTTCATCTATCACTTCAGTAAGTTCTTCGGTCATCATTTAAAAAATATGCATATAATTATTTGTTTAGTTCAAGAACAAAGGTAAAATCACATGCTTAGAGCAAAAGTAGCAAATTTTGCATCTTAGTGCAAGACAATTGTTGCTAGCTATTTTGCTAAAAAATAGCATGCTTTAAAAATCTGAGGCTTCTGCACAACATATTTGATATTCAACTATTAAATATTTTAGAACTCTTCAGCATAGTCACACAAGGTTCTTGAGGCACCAATCGTGTTTATACCACATTGCTCAAGTTCTTTGTCTGATAATTTACTTAGATGCTTTACTGAAATCTGTTGCAACTTGAATTCATTCAAGAAATCTTGATAATAATGGTTTGTTTGCTCTTTTTCATCTATCTTTTTTAGAAAATCGGCCATAGTTGGTAAAGTATTTGACTTATATTGACTAGCTTGAAATGGAAGTGAAACAAACTATGCTGGTGTGTGGTATGAATTGAATGGCATCATCGATGGTGTATAATAAGAAGTAAATGGTGTCAAAAATAGTTGAAATATTGAAGAGCCAAAATTACTTTGTGGTAACATTTGTGATAATGGAACAGATGGTTCTTGGGACAAAGATGTTTGTAGTGGAAAAGGTGTTTGTAGTGGCAAAGATACTTGTGGAAGCAAAGATGCCTGTTCTGTCAAAGGTTCTTGTGGCGGCAAAGGTTCTTGTGGTGGTGGTGATTTAGAGGAATACCTTTTTTTGGAGGATGCTTTGTGAGAAAAGATGGGATGTGTTGGGGGGTCCTTAACTGTACTTAATCCTTTATTCTAAATGTACATACGACATATATAATAATAATTATTATAATTTATAATTAGTTCAGTTAAAACATTCTTAGTTTTGCTTTTGCTTTCTAGTACAACAGTATATATTTATGTTTTGTATAGTCTTATAATATGCAATTATTACTGAATAAAATTTACCATATCTGATGCCCATATCAAAAGCATCATAAATATAATTTCTACATGTAGATCTTTATTACTTTCTTTATTTAAACAAGGTCGATTGTGTATATTACAATGATGTTCTTTTCGAATTTCTAAAACGTTCTTAGCAATTGCTTGGTCATGTGATGATAAAGATGATACATTTGGAATTCTATTGCTGTTTTTGTAATTGTTTGTAGATTCTTTAGGCTCTTTATCATTATAGTCATTCAAATTCACACTCTAAAACCATTTAGTAATTAATAATTGATACATATTGTTAATATAATATATGTATATATGTATGTACATACGTATATACATACGTACGTATGTACCTTTTTTTTTGTTTTGTTTGAAAAGATGTCTGCATCATTGTTATATAAATTCCCATATCAATATTTTTTGCAGCTAACTTTAAATATTCAGCCTTAAATTTTATAAAATCTTGTGTATCAGTTAATTGGGTACCAGCGCCAGCTTTCTTCTGTGTTTTAAACGCTACACTATAATCAGTCGGCAAGAGAGTATTATCTTTTATCAACATAATAGTTTTATTATGAATTGATAAAAGAAATCCATCTATAGTTGATACCGATTCTTTAAACCATTTGCTCGGCAATGAAGTTCCTTCCACAGTTTTGATAATTAATTTGTAACTTATTTCAAATTCGGTACCATCATCTCTGCTTATTATTTCGTCGTCATTAGTTATAGCGGATATAGAAGGAGAAGAAGACTGGATTGTCTTCTAAAAAAAAATTATATATATATATATATATACAGTATATATACACATATGAACTTATAAAAAAACTAATAAATTACATTAGTTTCAGTTATGATATCCCCTGCTGTACTTGTTACTATATCCATCAATTCATCCGTTGCAATATTGCTATCCATTTCCAGATCTTTCACGTTATCCATTGCTTTTCTGTTACTGTATCCATTGCTTTATCTATTATTATGTCTGTTGCTTTATTCATTACTATATTTGCTGATTTATTGTTTGATTTTTTTCAGCTTTTGTTAGATTCAATTTGAGCAAAGTTCTGTGGCACTGACTACAAAGGGAAAACTTAAAAGATTTTTTTAAATTTACTTGATAGTTGTATTCAAGGACTTTTTTATGAATGTATTCAAACTTTAATACTGCACAAGTAGGCTCATATTGACATATATACACCTGTTTGACACTAACAGTTCTATTTTTTTTTGTTGATACTAAAGATTTTTTTACAACTGCACGTGATCTGACGCAAATCTACTGCGGGTATATCTATGTGCCCACCACCAAATTTGGGTTTGTACGATGATCGATGTATAATTATGCATTATCATGTTACACAACCAATCAACAATCAATTTACTATTCAAATTTTTATTAAGTTTATATGCAATATATAACAAAACGAAACCTCGATATAATAAAATATCTATCGCTTAATGAAACCATTGGTATATACACAGAACTTGCTTTAAAGTTTCGCTATATTGAGACTATATCATATCAAACTTTATTATATTACATGAAATACAGTATATTTTGTTATAGTTTACATATAGAAAAATATAATATTATTAAAATAATATGAATTTACATTCACAATGATTATTTATTGAGAAATTTGATATAAAATAAAATCGCCATTTCAGTAAATCTTATTTGAGCTACAAGTTATAAACCTATTATCACTAATCGAAAAAATTATGAACTAAATAAGTAATATAAAGATAAAACGTCAATAAGTTATAATTTTAACTTTGTTTAATGACTATTAATTAGAATAAAATTTTCGAATCGTTCAAGTCTATTTAACTAGCCGAATTTGCCTTGTAATAAAAAAGGTTCAAACACATCGTTCTCAATACTACAATTATAGTAAATTATAGGCCCAAATAATATTATTCCTTAAATCACTTAATGTAAAATAATACAGATTACTTACTGAAACATTTGGAGCAAATAATCAATTAATGATTATATCATTGGATTACGATTAATAA